ATATGTGTGTGTGTGTGTGATATCAATATAAATATATGCATTGAATATTTGAATAAAGGTATTGGTTTTTGGTCATCTTAAGAATTTAGATATCGATAATATAATATCTAGACAGTACTGACCATAATAGACGGGTTGCCCCAAGAAGAAACGTATTAAACTTCCGTAACCAACAGAAAATTTAAACAAAAAAACTCTCAAACTGTTCCATTGTAGACTGATTTAAACTTTTATCTTAGTATATTATTGTTCCTAAAAATTAATTGGATTTTATTGTACAAGTTGGTTGTCTAAAACAGGCAAACACATTGAAACCAAAGGTATAGACATACTATTAACTGAAATTTATATTTATATCAGCCAAGTATGAGAAGAGTTTAACCCTAAATCAAGACCGCTTCAATAAACCACAGGAAAAAAAAATGTAGTCCTTCACATATATTGAAATTTTAATTTTAGTAGACGGAAGGGCGGCCAACTAACCAACTTGGCAATGTAACTTTCATTTTTGTTTTTCACTTATTTTGTTGGAAGAAGACAGGGGAAGAAAAAAAAGGGGAGACTCTAAATAAAGTAAAAAACTTAGAGAGAAAGAGAGAGAGAGAGCGAGGGTCACGCACAGGATTTCAATGCCCAACTGAGGAACTGACCAATCACAAAGCAGCCAGCTGTCGGAGAAGCAGCGAGTCACGCAAAACTAAACTGAATTAAATATGATCATAATAATAAGATTTATTTATTTATTCATTTTGTTAGTAATTAATTGAGATGAACTTCTCCAATTAAATTTCCTTCTTACTTTTTATCTTACTTTCCCATGTTCTCCCCCCTCTCCCGTTCTTTCATACGTATTTTTTATTATATCTGTCTAGCACAATTTCGATGAACGGTAAAAATTAAATTCTACTTAATTGATTGGTTGGTTAATTGCAAAATAACCAAAATTTGAATTTTTTATCACTCATTTTTTATATTTTTGGGGTACTTCATTGTATCTTCACTACTTTCTCCTACCATTTCTCTCTATGTCTGCTAATAAGGATAAAACAGGCAATACTAAATAAATCACCACTCTTCTTAGTTTTTAGACATTTTCTTAGTTAGTTTAGTTCAAATTTTCAACTTTCAAGGTTAATTTTTATGTTTAAGCAAAGAAATCAACTCAAGCATACTGAAGAAATAAATGTATATTTTTATCGTTTATACTTGTATGATGCGTGTTCGTCTTCTTGTTTGTACTTTAAAAGTGACGATTAAGTTTTGACTGTAAATTTCTGTGTGACTTTAAAAAAAAATTTGTATGTTTGTTTGTTTGTTTTTCCTTTCAACTCGTAAATTGCGTACGTAGAGAACCGTCCCCATTCATTATATGCTCTCTCAAGTGGAGGATAATAATGATATCACTTCAAATAACGAAAGTTTAAAAACACTAGTTTTTGTAAATCATATAATTATATATATAAATGATATTTAAACAACTTTTAAAGTGAAAGCTTCAGGTTAATTTTTTCTCGTTTGTTTTATATTTTTTTTTACTATTCTTTTTGAATTTCATATTTCGTGGTTATTTCTTATACAATTTTATTATTTGCTTTTATATTACAATATATTTGATTTTAATATAAAAAGGGTAGAAAACAATATAATAATATAACAAAACTATATATAATTTAATAATGTCTCAAATATTAGCTAAATCTACAACTAAAACATACAGTTTGCTCTCGAAAAGAGTATTAACTCAAGCAAGATTTTATGCTCAACCAACTTTAAAAGAACGTTTTGCTGAAATTTATCCACAAAAAGCTGCTGAAATTAAACAATTTAAGAAAGAACATGGTTCTACTGTTATTGATACAGTTAAATTAGACCAAGCTTATGGTGGTATGCGTGGTATTAAATCTATGGTTTGGGAAGGTTCTGTCTTAGACCCTGAAGAAGGTATTAGATTTAGAGGTTTAACTATTCCAGAAATTAGAGATAAATTACCAAAATCTACAAAGGATTCTAAGGAACCATTACCAGAAGGTTTATTCTGGTTATTATTGACTGGTGAAATTCCATCTGCTGAACAAGTTAAAGCTTTATCTGTTGATTTGGCTTCAAGATCTGAATTACCAGAACATGTTAGTACTTTATTAGATAATTTACCAAAGCATTTACATCCAATGGCTCAATTTTCTGTTGCTTTAAACGCTTTAGAATCCGAATCTAAATTCGCTAAAGCTTACGCTCAAGGTGTCAACAAGAAAGAATATTGGAATTATACGTTTGAAGATTCCTTAGATTTATTAGGTAAATTACCAGTTATTGCATCAAAGATTTACCGTAACGTTTTCAAAGATGGTAAATTAGGTAAAGTTGATTTAAATGCTGATTATGGTAAGAATCTAGCTAACTTAATGGGTTTCGAAAATGGTGATTTTGTTGAACTAATGAGATTATATTTAACTATTCATTCTGATCATGAAGGTGGTAATGTTTCTGCCCATACTACCCATTTAGTTGGTTCTGCTCTATCTTCTCCATATTTGTCTTTAGCTGCAGGTATGAATGGTCTAGCTGGTCCATTACATGGCCGTGCTAATCAAGAAGTATTAGAATGGTTATTTAAATTAAGAGAAGAAGTTCATGGTGATTACTCAAAGGAAACCATTGAAAAATACTTATGGGATACTTTGAACTCTGGTAGAGTTATTCCAGGTTATGGTCATGCTGTTTTAAGAAAAACTGATCCACGTTACACTGCTCAACGTGAATTCGCCTTATCTCATTTCCCAGATTATGAATTATTCAAATTAGTCTCTGCTGTGTATGAAACTGCACCAAAGGTATTAACCAAGCAAGGTAAGACCAAGAACCCATGGCCAAATGTGGACTCTCATTCCGGTGTCCTATTACAATACTACGGTTTAACTGAAGCTTCCTTCTACACTGTCTTATTTGGTGTTGCTAGAGCCTTCGGTGTTCTACCACAATTAATTATCGACAGAGCTGTTGGTGCTCCAATTGAAAGACCAAAATCTTTCTCTACTGAAAAGTTTATGGAATTAGTTAAATCTATTGAATCTAAGAAATAGATCGAATATTAAAACAATATCAATTTTTTCTCAAGATTTTAAAAAAACAACAATAAAAAAATATTTCTAATATGATTATGATTACCTTCCTAACGTAGGACCAACTTTTTTTTTCTTTCCCCTTTATTATTACTGTTATCAGCAATAACTGTGATAATGACTCATGAATGAACTTAATTAACTTATAATATTACCTTTTACAAATTATCAATATAAGATTCTACTAACCAACACATATATAACGATAATTGAAAAAATTAAATCATTACGATAATAACGATACTATAAGAATCAATCCACAAAAAAAAAAGTATGAGGAAGATATATATCATTGAACCCTCCCCATATATGATAATAACGATTCCTCTTTAAAGTCTACTTATATATATATTCCATATCAATAAATAATATAACAAATTTTATTTCTATTATTATTATTATTATTATCATAGTAATGTTTTTCTGTTGGATTGAATTATGTAGAGAGAACGATGTAGTAATATTGTTGTATATTATTACAATGATATTAGTGAATTTATATGAAGATATAAAAACCGTTAAATAAATAGATGTTTAAAATATTGAAATATTTTGAGTTTACGTTTTATTAATTTTTTTACGTTTAGTATCTATCTTGCGAGCTATCAAAAGTAACATTTCAGTAAATAAAAAAACGAAAGTGACATAAAAAGAAGAAAAGAATAAAAACAGTAAAATACCGTTCAAGACAGCTAGAAACAACAAACAATAAACAAATATATATATATAATGATTTACAGTAACTAACAACCGTTATACTCATTCAAATGTGAAACTGGTTTACTTATACACAACCCACAGTGTTTTCAAAGATGCAATGACATCTATCTTTGAAAATGTTCCTTATCAAAATTACAAAACCAATATATTTAAATTTTATTATTATTAAGACGTTAATAGAAAAACAATTAACTTGATGACATAAAATAACATTCAAAGTTTAACTGTTATTCCCTGACTAAGGGTATTTCATACACCATCATCAATAGGAATTAGTCCCGAAAAATACTGAGAAATCTGATTTACCTTAATGCAATTCGACCACTATCAAAAAAACAGCAACTACTCTTGAGACAACAACGATTGACATCATACTTAGTACTAAATCTATGTTTCTTCTTACAAACAACTTCCAAGTCTAACAACAACGTTAATTATAAAATACCAGGTATATGTATGTTTTTGATATTACCAATATTTTAGTAATTTACCATACCAAGATTACAAAAAATGCGTCTGCTTCTCTTCCCTTATTAAAGCCCATCGTGAAAAAAAATGCACAAATCGCACGAAACGCACGCCCCCCACCTACTAAATCAACATAGAAAAGACAACGAAAACCAACGCCTCCCCTCCCGTAACAACGCCCAACTTCAAATATTTCTCAGTTTTTTCACGGGGGGTGAAAGAGAGACACACAGCGTTACTATTCGCATCTTTCCTCAATTAACATTTTTTGTCTCTCCCGCGCCCTCCCCGGTATAAAATACTACTTGCTATATTATACACTATATATTATTCATACGGCGTATTATCAATATATTATCAATATATATTTATACTAGCTATATATATATTAGCTATAAATTGATAAACTTTTGGGGGTAACGCATTGCTTAACTAACTTTTCCCCCTTAAATATTTGTTATAAGATTTACTTTCACATTTAATTTATTTTATTATTTAATAAGTCAATTGAATAAGTGCAAAGAGTTTTTAATTTATTATTATAATTATTATTATTATCACCACAGTTAAGTTATTTCAATTAAGGTCAACCATACGTTTTTTTTCATTTGGAAAACAATAAGAACAACAGCAATTGATATCGTAATCAAAAAAACACAAATTTACTTATAAATATATAATTCAACAAACATTATGGCAAAAATCGCTATTATTACATATTCAACCTATGGTCATATTGACAATTTGGCAAAGACTATTCAAAAAGGTATAGAAGAAGCTGGTGGTAAAGCTGATTTATTCCGTGTTCCAGAGACTTTATCAGATGACATCTTAACCAAAATGAATGCTCCTGTTGCTAAAGCATCTATCCCTGTTGCCACTGCTGAAACTTTAAAAGAATATGATTCCTTCTTATTCGGGGTTCCAACAAGATTTGGTTCTTTACCTGCTCAATGGGCCGCTTTTTGGGATTCTACTGGAGCTTTATGGGCTGAAGGCGCCCTTTATGGTAAAATAGCCGGGTTTTTCGTTTCTACTTCTTCATATGGTGGTGGTCAAGAAGATACCGTTAGAAATTGTCTTTCTTATATTGTTCATCATGGTATGTTATATATTCCACTTGGTTATAAGAATGCTTTTGCTGAATTGGCAAATGTTGAAGAAGTTCACGGTGGTAGTGCTTGGGGTGCAGGTATTCTAGTAGGTTCTGATGGTTCTAGAGCTCCATCTGCTATAGAATTGAAGATTGCTGAAATTCAAGGTAAAACTTTCTATGAAACTGCAAAGAAATTCTTCCCAGAAGATGAGACTACTACTACTGCTGCTGCTGCCACTGGCACTAAGAAAGATACCACTGCTGATAAAGGTGCTTCAAAATCAGCTGCAAAGAGACAAACTACTAAACCAGCTGAAACAAAAAAAGAAGATGATAAGAAGAAAGAAAGTTCCTCTATGATGGACTGTTGTACTCTAATGTAAAAACAACACAAACAATTATAATAATAATAATAATAATAATAACATACTTATATTTTTCCACCTAATTCTACTCCTTTTTCTTACATAGTTCTCCCCCCTCCCCCATGTCAATTTATATTATTTTAAACCTTATTATTAGTATTTAATTCAATTCTTATATGTCTAAATAGATATTAATAATAATATTACAAAATAAATAACAAATAGTTAATTCAATAATAGAAAATAAAAAAATTATTAGCAATAATGTCTTATGGTATTCTCTCTTTGCGATATTAGTTTAACGAAATCGGAAAATTTATGACCAGTTTGCTTCATTTATATATTTAACGAAAGACATGTTAAAGGTTTTTATATTTAAATATACCATCCCACTTTGAAAGATGTACGCTAGCTAAGTTATAAGAAAATATTATATTTCATATCTATTTATTTACATTAAAATTTGAATTACATCGAATAACATAGATTATACAGATTTTGGATTCATATATTCGTTTTATTTTATTTACATGGGATTTGTCCTTTGGTTGAACAATATAAAGGTTTACTCTACTCTATTATTCAATTGAAATGTAATCTCGTTTCTGTTGTTTGAACGACCATATATATGTTATGTTCTTTTCTTTTTCTTTTATTTATATGCTCATTAGGAATATATATTTCTTCATGTTATTTGTTTTTTAATGCCTTTAAGAATTTCTAGTACTCCGAACCACCAATTTTATTGATTTCTTTCAACAGGCAATGTCTTGGTTCTTCTTTTCAAGTAACTGTCTTTATCCTTTAATTTACGCATATATGCTGTATCCACTCTACCTGGATATAAAATTCTCTTATCAACCTCACTGATAACCGAATCCACAGATTCCTTAACCTCTTCCTTGACTGCAAGATGAGCTTTCCATATATGACGGATCTCTCCAACACAGAACGGACATAATGTATTCATTCTTTTAAAATGACCACATGAGGGACATTTGTTTAGATTATTCAAAAATTTTACATTATTACGATTAGCATTGTCTGCTAGTAATCTTTGTCTCTTCTTTTGATGTGACGTCTTTTTCTTTGGTGCTGCTAACAACATACCAATGTTTAATTCGGCTAAACCAGGGAATACATTTAATAGTTGAGTCGTTATACTTCTAACTGCCAAGGACATGACTAACGTTTACTAATATTCAACTTCTTGCTATGGTTCCTTCTCTTATAAAGTGAATAACAAAATAATATAGCTACTTGAAGAATTGTAACAGGCTTAGAAATGGTAGATAGAAGGTAAACAGACTCTGAAAGTTACGTTACTGATTTCAAAATGAATATAACCTTGAAGCATATATTTTTAATTTTTCCATTCAATATCCAATCGGTTCGGTTCACCGAAATCATGTTTCCATTTTAAACCAAGATCAAAAAACCAGTAAAAGGCATTTCATACGAAATATCCCACAAGAAAAAGAAAAAAATAAAAAGGGGGCATACTGGGAATTGAACCCAGGGCCTCTCACATATTCGAGTAAAGAACCCAAAGCGAGAATCATACCACTAGACCACACGCCCTATTATTTATATTCAAATGTCAGAAACACTAAAACTTCAGAGTAATGAAACATTAACAATCCTATGTTCTCTATGTAAACGTAAGTTGTTGTGGAAATATTAAGTAGCGATACTTATTATGGTAACAATTAATGAATAGATAGAACACATTGTTAAATATAGCGGCAGCACTAAAAAGGCTAATATTTGATGGGAAAATTGAATATTAGACATCTTCTATTTAACTGAACAAATTTTATTATATTACAAAATCAACTTATAGTCGTCTGATCTTTTTATATCTTATATAAAAATATATAAAGTAAATTATGGAAACAATTATATTCATAAATGAAATATTGTTCCATTTATATATGTTGGATTATCATTGTCGTGATTATAGACTCACTCGACAGTGGCGTAAGTAATCTATTATTACGTTGTTGCGGGATGAACCTATTGTTAGATCATTGCGGGATGAATCTATCAATAGATCATAACCTTGGTCATTATCCCTCTTATAATATATTTCCGACAATATTAGCTTAACCTATCTGAAGGTGAAGGTGGCTAATATAAGTAGAATTTAGAGTGTGCTGCACTGTCGTATATATAATAACACATGATATATACTGCATAATGTAGTATTTGTTCCCCCTACATTGGGTTTATTGGAGCTACATAGTCCAACGTTACTATGCTCAAAAGATGAACAATTTAACAACAGCAACTCTGTTTAACACTAATAAGAACTTAACATTTTATTAGGTAATAATCGTTTAGGTCATAATCGTTTAGGAAATAAGTTCATTACTTAGTATTCGTTTAAGAAACAATCGTTTAGGTAACAAGAGAAATAAAATGTCGATAAAATAAATAATATATAAAGGCAGAGAATTCTGAACTTACATCCAAAGTTAGATTATTTTCATTCTATAAATTGTACAACAATAAAGAAATCACTTACAGAAAATAGAAACGTATAACAAATACGTTTTGCTTTTTTAACATAGATCTTAAGCTAACACCTGCATCTCTCAACCTAATAATAGATAAAATGAACAAATACAAGTCTAACTCCACTATGTCTGCCTCACCTCATATATTGCATTCCGGATTCATTTTAGTATTGAACCATGATCTCGTTAGTGTATTCAGATCCATGGTCGAATTGGAATGCCTTAACTTAGGTATCAAATTGTCGAGCGATAGTATTAACCAGTGAAACAGTAATATCTAGTATTGTTTCTGAATGTTTATCTTTTAAAGGGAAAATCCATCTGTAGGAGGTGTGCTCATCAATGAATGTGATAAAGTATTTTGCAATGGATGATGAAGGTACTGGACCAAATATATCAGAGTGAATGTATTCAAAAGGTTTATATCTCTCTTGATATTTTAATCTGGCGCCTTTGATGTGATTGTGTACTTTAGCTTTACCTTGGGCACATTCTACACATTAAAATGAGGAATAACCAGTCCAATCAATGTCGTTATACGTGAGATGCTTGAACGTCTTCTTTAAGAATGATTGACGCAAAGATTCAACGTTAACGTGACCGAATAGCCGATGAACTAATTCCAATGGATATTTATGTACTAAATGATTTACTTTGCTTAAAGGTAGTGCGTGTGGAAAATAATATAGCGATTTGATAACCAACAAAGTGAATCGAATTTAGTATATTCAGCGAAGATAACACCATTTGTATCTTCTAATATTCGAGTTTTGGGATTCTGATAGGCACCTTGTTCCTCTAAATCATGAATTCTTAATATGTTATCCACGATTTCTGGAACGAAATAGGCGTTAACAGATATTTCCTTGTTATTGTGAAAATGAAGTTTTAAAGTACCTTGAGCTCTAGCATGAGGACGATGGTTTTGAGTAGTGGCAATATGAGGTACGATGAAGTCATATGTCACATCGTGCAGTAAGTCAGCATCATTGATTAATGTGATACTGGAACCGTTGTCTAGTAAAATGTAGTTGCCAACATCAAAGGTAGAAGTCAACGATTGAACATTATTAACAGAGTTCTTGGCAATTGCAACTATGGAAGATGTTGAAGTAGACCTAAGTGAATGAGAAGAATCAGGATTCGAAGAGGTAATTGAAGAACGTAAATTGATATTGTTGTTCTTACGAACTGGTCTTTTCTGTCTACCAGTTGATCGTGAACCATTTTCTTGGTTCTTTTTAGTATAGCAGTTTTCAAGGGTATGACCTGATTTTTGGCAATACTTACAAATAATAGTATTGGAAGGTTTAGCTGGAGACCTTTTAGATGATGAAATGAGTTTATATTTCGAATTGAAATCATATTCATATTGAATATCATCTAAGAGTTGGTCAATGGTATAGTTATTCTCTAATTTTTCATATGTCTTAACAATGGATAGAAATGATCCTGAAAGTGATGATAAAATTGCTGTCTTTATGAACGTAACAGTCTCATCAGCTTCGGGATTGGAGAAACGATTGATAATGGACCTAACTTTAGTCACAAAAGGAAATGCATCCTTAGTGCCATCGTAAGATAGGGCCTTTAAATCATGCCATAATTGCGAAGAATCATTTTGTGCTTGTTGAAGTTGGATGGCTCTTTTAACAGATTCGAAAGTATTGTTAGAATTTGTGAAGAACCAATCAGGCACAAAATCATCCTTTACATAATATTGAAATGTAGACATGATGTTTTGACGTTCAGAAGGAGAAGCAGCACGTTTGGAATGACCACGTGGCCCTGCAATTATATCAGCCAGTTCATACTCTTTTAAGACTGAGATAAAGTCGAAGGTCCAAGTATCGAAACCAGGTTTTGAGGAAACAATTTGTAGTTGTGGTGAACCATAAATTTGAACTGGTATATAGAAGTTAGCAACAGGTTGAACCACGACAGGTGATTCTTTTGGCATGTTATGTCTGAAACTGTCGAAAACATAATATAAGAATCTAACAATAGGCTAACCCCCTCAGTGATATAACAATAAACTAAACCCTCATCTACTTAATTATAGTAATTAAACCACCGTCTAATGAGCTGATGCTTACAACCTGAACCAACGTATATAAAGGGAACATTATTCCAGTTATGAATATAATGTTTCTCATACTTCTTTTATAATTCATATATAAAGAAAACAACAATTATTGAAATAAGTTCTAATTAGTCAACAACATAGTAATAGCAATTAAATATAACTGTCTGTTATATTTTTGTCTTCAACCATCCGAGATCGCAATACAACATGGCAATGTGGATGAATTTTGTGATATGTCCTTAGGTTGATCGTTTTTGATTCAGAGCCTAAGGTATCAATATCAGAAGTCTGTTGCGCAGAAGGTCCAGTTGGTTTCCTTCGGTTATTCTGTAAACCTTGGTTGGTATCAGTCTTACGATATGCTTCCAACACTTTTTATGTCAGGGGAAAAAGTTCACCTGATTGATTACGTCGCGCATCATCGTGTATTATGATGATATCTAGTGATGAAAGATATGAGTAACTATCCAGGTGTTTATTTACCTATATTGAAATTAAGTGTGACATATATTACTCTTAATTTCTGACAGTTATATTTAGTAAATTTATATAACTAAGACTGTATATATATAAAATTAGAATACGTGGTCCCTTTATCCTTTTTTAGAAAGGTAAACCTGATTAATGCTACTTCATAAGATTAGATGTATTACATTTTTTTTAAAAAATCAATTCATATCGAGGTCATATTCACCTTTCTTTCAGCAACATCTTTCATCTGAATTAATGTTCATACTATAATTTCTATATATAATTTGTAAAGAGAAAATAGACATCGAATGTGTCGATGGTAGTTAATTCTATTTCAAAATTTATATTTAATATATCTCCACATTGAGTTATAATATTATCTCCTTATATGTTTCAATTAATATATTTTATTACTTTTCATTCGTAATATTTGTCTTGTGATGACGGTCAGACTATTCCAACCAGTGACCAATTTTCAGATTTCCTCTATCACATGCAATATCTACTGTTTAAGATACGATTCAAAAGACTCACTAGTTAATGTATATTAGACCCTGAGTTATTTTCCTATAATATATACCTTATGAGCGATTGTACATGTTTAACTTTTCATAATAAATATGACATATTCGAAGATTGAACGATATCAATCGATAACTCCTAGAACACTCAGTAAAGTCCGAAATTAAATATACAAAATATGAAGGAATATATTAAATTTAAAAAATTTTTTACATTTTCTTTTTTTACATATGTGTTAATAAATAAACATATATATAGGAAATATATGCCAATAAATAAATAAGATATAAAACATGAACAGAAAATAAATAAATAATTGAAGTGAGATAGATTTAAGTTAAAATTAGAGAATCATATCAAATTTGCAATTATTTAGAAACGGACTTAATCTTGTTTAGAGCAGAACCGTACTTGAACCAATCAATTTGTTCCTTGTTGAAAGTGTGAGTCAATTCACAATCCCAAGAGGCACCGTTTTCTGGGTGAACAACCATAGTCAAGTTCTTACCTGGAGCAAATTCCTTTAGACCGACAATATCAATCTTGTCAGTTGGATTAATCTTATCATAGTCAGCTGGGTTTTGG